GCTCAATTTCTGGTATTCTTGGCTCCTTGAATGGCATCATTGTACAATTAATTGGACAAGCCAGAAGCCTGGAAGTCAATCTTGTCACCTTCCTTGCTATCATGTTCCATGACTATTCTATCACCAAGCTCTGTCCATTTTATTCCCTTCATTCCTCTTGACCCAGTTTATTCTCTCTGGTATTTATCATTACTGTAGTCCGAGCTATCATCCTCTCCCTCTAACTGGCCTCCCGTCTCCATTCTTGTCCTTTCACTCAATTCTCTTCTCTGCAGCCCCAACAGTTATCTAAGAATGTGAATCTGATCATGTGATTCCCTTCTTTAACACCTTCCCATGGCTTTTAGGATAAAAAATTCCTAACAGTCCACAAAGTGCTGCCTCATCTGGCACCTCCTGACCCATTTGCCTCCCAGTCTACCCACATCAGCATGCTCTTCTCCACATTTCCTTCCACCATGTGCCCTTTGCAGTTTTGATGTCCTCTTTCTCGAATATGTTCCTTCCCTCTACAGTTTCTTTGGCCTAGTTAACACCTACACACATATCCTCCATATCTCTGCTTATCTGACTCATTTGGGGAGGTGTCTTCCTCATAACTACTTTCCTAACATATAACTACTCCAGCTTATGTCATGAACAGAGGAAAATGAGCTTTTCTCTTAAGAACTCCAAGGCAAGCCAAGATTCTGACTTTTCTCCCTGAGTGTCATGTTCCTTCCCTTCCTTGCATACATCAGTTTTAATTTCCACTTTTATGGCTTTTCATAGATTAGTTCCTTCTCCCTCTGCTTTTGTGTAAACTCCATGAGGATAGTATCTGTGTCTCATTCATTCATCCTTGAGTCCTCAGTGCCCAGCACACTTCCTGTCTCATAGCACAGGTTCAAAACATATTTGTAAAATAAATGAATGCATGGATTTTGCCTTCCACTCTTCCTCCCAGAATGTCTTCCACTTGATTCCAGTGTGGACTGCACCACAGGGTTATCAGTGATTCTTCTTGCTCTGACAATTCTTTTCGTACCAGGGATCGAACTCGGGTCCTTTCACTTTCGAAGCAGGCGGTGGAACCACTGAGCTAAATCCCCGGCCTCTCTGACAATTCTTACACTGACATCCAGGTTTATCTAGGCTTTATGTCCTCATCATGTTTTGATAGTTCCCTCTCAGGAGGGCCTGCATGAACCTCTGGGGATGGGGCTTGGGGCAGATGAGTGTAATGGAAGAAAGCTTGTTTGGGTGGATTCTGACTCACTGCCTCCCTTGCAAGACAGATGGGAGAAACCTCTGAATCTCAGGATAATTACCTGGGGTCTGGGAAGATGGTCTCACAAAGTGGTCTTCCCAGGAGTCCTTCTCCTTACCTTTTCACTCCTCTCCCTCCCACTTCCCTCAGGCTTTTATAGAGCACATATTTACAGAGGAAAGAGCTGCCTTTTTTGCATTTGGGTTCATTTGAAAGAGTAGGTCTGTAGAAGGAGAGAAATGGCCACACTGCTGTTAGCTTTCTGTAAAGCAGCACACACCTCTCTAGTGTGTGTTTATTACTGCCCCTTGAGCTAAACATGAGGCTGAGCGGTAATTGCCCAGGTCTCCAGGCGAGTCCATTTCCCTGCAGGTGCACTCGCAGGCGCTGAGGAGCCCTGAGGTGTAATCTTTACACAGCTGCCTTGGCAACTGAGTTCACCAATGTTTGCTGTGTGCCCAAGGACAAGCAGGTATCTACAGCAGTGGGTGTTTCTAACAAATTCTCCTCTCAAATTGGCACATTCTCTGTGAGTTTTCCAGACTTCACGGTGTGTCTCACAGTTTGGGAACAATTTCCACCCTCATCTGACTGGCAAGTACTAGTTCTGTGGTAATTTGTGTCTTTAAAATAGCTGAATACACAATAGGGCGCAGAGGTCCATTTTGCTCCTGACGTAATTACTTAAATACACATTCCTGCAGTGTTCCTGACACAGAGGATTGCTTCTGAACGCGTCCAAAAGAATACCATGTCGCACTTCTTTAGCTTTTTCTACACACTTACATTACCCAAACCTACAGAGAGGTTAAACATCTGTTCTAGATTAATTTCCCTTTCAAATCTGTGTTTCTCAGAGATTTCCATAGGGTTGAATTACTATTTTTTATTCTTAAAATGTTCTATCAAATCATCTATCTATGTTATATCAAAACTGGGAGGCAGCTTTGTCGCTACTTCTGCTGCCTTGAGGATAAGTGTCTTGGTTTGCCCGGGACTGCATTGGGTACACAGGGCTGGGGGTTTTCAGGCTAAAATCAGAAGAGTTCAAGACAAATGAGGACAAAGTGGTCACCCATCACTATTACTATCCTTGATTAGGAAGTAGGTAAACCCAGTCAAGGGGAACTTTTATTCTCTAGGTAGACTAGTTAAGTGGCTGGTAGGAATTCCCCAAAAGCTACACTTTTCTAAGTGCCTTTCCTTTCTTTCTTTTTAAAAAATACAGTAACTTATTGAAGAGATAGCTCATACCATACAATTAATAGACCTATTTAAAGTGTGTACTTCAGTGGTTCTTAGTTGTGTAACCCTCGCCACAATTAATTTTCAACCATTTTCACAACCCAAATCCCTGGAAACCATCAAGAGTCACCCCTCACACCAATCCTTCATCTTCTGGCAACCACTATTCTGCTTTCAGTCATGATAAATTTCCTTTTTCTGGGTATTTCATATGAATCGAATCATGCAATAAGTAGGCTTTTGGTTCTGGCTTATCTCAGTATAACGTCTTCAAGGTTCATCCATGTTGTAGCACATAGCAGAACTTCATTTTGTTGATAAATAATATTCCCTCTCTCTATATAATAAATTTATATATATTATAAGTTGATATATATATTATAAGTTGATAGACATTTACATGGTTCCCACCTTTTGGCCACTTACGTGTAAATTTTTGTGTGGATATATGTTTTCATTTCTCAAGTATATACCTAGCACCAAAATTCCAGGTCATGTAGTGACTCTATGTTTAACTTTTGAGGGAACTGCCAGACTATTTTACAGAGTAGCCAGACTAAAACTTTCCGTGCTCGACAGCAGAGTATGTAGGTTTCAGTTTCTTGTCAACACTTGTTATTGTCTGTTTTTTTTTAAATTACATTCTTTCTACTGGATATGAAGTGGCACCACATGGTTTTGATTTGCATTTCTCTGATAGCCAGTGATATTAAGTGTCTTTTCATATGCTTACTGCTAAGCTTATTAAATGGAAGGTATTTAAATTGAATGCTCACAAATATTTCCCAGTATCTCAAATCCTTCTACCCAAAGCTAAATCTACACACTTTATTTAAACTATTGACTTTTTCTCATGACCAGAAATAGTCCTACAGTGAGTCTTTCCCTCACTTGCCCAAATGTGGGGCATTCTCTGCTGTTTCCACCAAACCTTCTTGCCCTAGTGGCTGTCTTTTCCTGGAGTATATCAGACAATGAACAGTGTGTTCCCTGAGTGTAAGACTGTATATGTTCCCTGGTACAGTGTTGACCAGTTTCCTTAAAGGGCTCCATCCAATGATCTCTCTTACTATTGGAGTTCTGGACATTGAGTTATTTACCCACTCATTGTTTTTTCTCCTCTCACCTTTCTAATTTTCTGGTGTTCCTTTCTCCTTTTCCCTCTCTCTAGTTTCTCTTGTGCACTCTAGGTGTTTATTTAATTTTTCTTTTGAGACAGAGTCTCCCTAAGTTGCCCAGGGTGGGCTCAAACTTGCGACCCTCCTGCCTCAGCCTCCTAGAGTGCTGGGATTACAGGTGTGTGCTACCACACAGGGCTTGCTTATTGAATTTTGATAATTTATTAGTTTATTCCTTCATTCCTCCCCTAACAAATTCTAAAAGGATCCATGCATGTTAATCAGCTTTCCATTGCTATAACCTATATATGAGTTAATCAACTTATAAAGAGGAAGTTTTATTTTAGTTGGTGGTTTCATGGTTTGTGGTTACTTTTAGGTCTGTGGTGAGGCAAAACATCATGGGAGCATGTGGGGAAAGAAAACCACTCACTTCAAGGCCGGGAGGCAAAAGAGAGAAAGAGGAAAGGACCAGAATCCCATAAACCCCTTTGAGGGTGGGTCCCCAAAGACCCAAAGACCTTCCAGCAGTTCTCCTCCTAAATAGCACCAAGCTGGGGGCCAGACTTTAACACACAGACCTTGGGGCCCTTCCAGATCCAAACTATAGCAGCATGACACTCTGTCCCATCCCCTGCCCTTTCTTTATCTTAACTGATTATTGATTTTCTCTCAGGAAACCCCATTGAAGGGCTGGGGATTTAGCTCAGTGGTTCTGCTGCCTGCCTTGAAAGCGCAAGGTCCTGAGTTCGATCCCCAGTACCAAAACCAAAAAAAAACTCTATTGATTTGACAGATAAGGATGGGATTCCTGGCAAGGCTACCAAGGAAAGGATGTCTCTCAGAAAATACTCTGTATCTGCAGTGACTTTTTGAGCCTGATAATAAGGACTTAGTAATTTTCTCCTTTCCAATGGGGCCCTGGCCACAGTCGTAGTATAGTTTTTAAAATGCCTGTGCATGACTCCACTCCTCTTACCCCATGCTATTCAACAATTACTACAAAGATAAACTTTCAGCATTTAAAGCCTATTATTACTTGTTTGTGCGGGTTAAAATAGCCACTACTTTGCAGTTTGGCAGAGGAGACAAGGGTAATAATAATAATAATAATTAATAAGTGAATCAAGATGTGGAGGAAAAATAATTTAATTGTAGAAGCAAGCAGCCAGGTATTATTACTATTATTATCATTTCCATTTACTGTTCACTTTATCAAAAGATTTAACTCAGCTCAGGGTAATGTAGTCACATTTAGGTTCCAGAGCAGCCCCTCATTTCTTCTTTCCCAGTGTGAATCACCCTGAGGATATACATTCCTGATCACACTGCCATGGGGTTTCCCTGATGGGGGTAGCCAGGGATTCTGGTTGGATGGTGGTTTTCAGAGTCAAGGGGCTGGGGAAGGAGGGGAAGTTAAGGCAGGTAGTCACACAGGTGATGAAGCATGATGTGACTCAGAGCCAGGCTCTGAGTGGGGTCCCCCTATCCCCTGCTGACTGCCTGCTCAGTACGCTGTGTCTTCAGGCGGCCTCCCTGGACCTCCTTGCCTGCCATGCTGCCCTCAGGAGTCTCCGCAGTCTGCTCAAGCCAGGGGGCTTCCTGGTGCTCGGGGATGCACTGAAGAGCAGCTACAACACAGTTTTCGAGCAGAGGGTTCTCCATCTTCTCCCTGGCCCCAGAGGCAGTAGAGGCTGCTACAAAAGAGGCTGGCTATACCATCGAGCAGTTTGAGGTGATCTCTCAAAAGTTATTCCTCCACCACTTCTGACAACGAAGGGCTTTTCTCCTTCTCCTTCTCCTTCTCCTTCTCCTTCTCCTTCTCCTTCTTCTTCTTCTTTTTGGTACCGGGGATCGAACACGGGTCCTTGTGCTTGTGCAGCTGGTGGAGAAACCTGGGCTTTTCTTCTTGGTGGGACAGAAGCCGGGCAGATCTGAATGACATGTGATCTCAAATAAAGCCATGTCTTGACAAGTGCACTTCAGATCTTGGTTCCAGCCACTGTGGTCTTTGAGCTGAGTAGATGCTAAGTGTCTGGGACCGGTGCTTCTTCTAGGACAAGGTTGGAATAGTTGGTGGTATAGGTAAAACTTGTGGATCACCTACCCTGTGCTCCACACATGTGTACCAGGGGATCCAAAGACGAATAATTGGGACGTCCAGTCCTCCCTGCCCGTGTTTATAAAAGGATTCTCCAGACATCCACTTATGGTAGCTCAAGCCCACACTTGTCTATGATAAGTGTCTGCACTATTAGTTTCTTAGCGAGGGTGCTTCCTGCTGCTGGGCCTCCTGGATAGCCCTGCTGTCAGCACCTTTCTGGCCTCAGGGGCCAGAAAACAGCTGGTTAGCATTTTTGTTCATTCCAAGATCCTTTTTTTTTTGTTTTTTTATAAAGATCATCTCATTTTCAAGTTCTGATTCACCCATTCACTAACTGTTTCTCCTTGGGCAAGTTACATAGCCTTGCTGTGCCTCAGTTTCTTCATCTGCAAGATGAGTTTAAATAGAACTTCCTGTTAAGAGAATTAAAATGAATTGCTACATACCAAGCATCCAGAATAATGATAGCTGCTTGATAAGCATTCAATAAGTATTAACTATGTAATCATTATTACCATCGTCATTATAATCATCATCTTTCATATGTTGCCAAACAGCACAGAAAAGATGCCTCAGTCTCCAAGTAGGAGGGAAAGTTGCTTCTCTGGGCTGCAGACATCCAGCCTCCTGACTGGTATTGCTTTCAAGAGGAGCTGTGAGGAAAGTCAGTTTCTGTACCACATGCTGCCAATTCCTTTATGATTTAAGAAATATTCAATATTAAATAACATGGGTTTAGCACCCTCCTTGTATCTTTCCTACACCAGGGTCTGAAAATGCAAATGAAACCCCAGTATGAGCTGGCTGAAGAGCCCTCATCTTCACAGTCACAGAGACACAAAGTGCTCCTAGGAACTCCCAAAGGTGGTGCAGCCACGCAGCACTCCCCACCCAGAATCCACTTGATTAGCCACTCCTGAGCAGGCTGTGGTCCCTCATGTGATAATCCTGGGGAGGGGGCAAAATGATCTACTGTACTTTAAGAAAGACACTTCCCCTGCCCATGGTTCTGCCCCAATGCCTCAGAGCTATGCTGGTTTCCTGCCAGGGTAGAGGAGACACTTTCTATCTGTACTAGAGGCTGGCATAGTAAACATGTTTGGCTTTCTGGGTCATACAGTCTTGATTGCAACTACTCAACTCTGCAATTGTAACAGAGATAGCCATAGGCAATATATAAATGATGTGTCTATGTGCTCCAATAAACTTTATTTACAAAAACAGGCAGACAGATAGATTTGAAACAAGAGTTGTAGATTGAAGATCTCAAATCTAGACCCTGAAGCACCCTTGTTTGTGCTCAAATTTTGATAAAATTTCTCATGAACAGTCTTAGTTTCTAGCACCCTAATCTATTCATAGGAGGTCAAACCAAATCCAGCAGGCTGGAGAGGGCATAGGCAGAATATTGCTTCCTTTATATTCCACTCACACTCTGTCTCTCTGTTCTGTTTTGGATCTAACATGTGCCCCAGATGCTCATGTGTTTGGAGGTGGCACTTTCAGAAGGTGATTGGACTATGAGGCCTCTAGCTTCATCAGTGGATCGAGGGATTCACAGTTTGATGGAATCATTGGAGATGATGGAGACTTAGGGGGTGGGACCAGAGTGTGCCCTTGAGACTATCTTATCCCTGCCTGTCCTCATCCTCCTCTTCCTTCTCTTCCTTTTCCTTCTTCCTCTTATTCCTTCCTTTCTTTCTCTCCCTCTTCACCTCCCTCTCTGTCCCCTTTCTCCAGGCTGCCATGAAGTGAGCAGCTTTCCTCCATGCCCATCTGCCATGTTTCTGCCTCATCACAATCCTAAAAGCCACAGAGCGAGCTAACTGAAACCATAAGCCAAAGTAAACCTTTCCTCCTTTAAATTATTATGTTCAGGTGTTTTATCACAGCAATGGAAAGCTAACTGACATACTTTCTTTCCTGCTGCATCCTCCATTCAAAACTCTTTCTTCCCCCAGTTGGAAGCCATTCAATGGATACAAACAGAAATTTAGAAAACAAATGAGAGCTGTGGGTATGAGAGTGATAGATAAAGTGTCCACTACACCAATATTTTTCAAACTGCAAGTTGCCATTCACTGGTGTATTCTAAAAGCATTTTGGTGCATCACGATAAACACTTTAAAAAATAATGCAGAACAAAATGGAAAACAAATCCTAGATAATAGCACTTCTTGTAGTATTACTTTGTGAACTTTTGTTTCAGTTTTACAAAAATATTTATCTATTACATATGCCTATTTGTTACTGGATTGTGATATAACATGTATTTATTGCTGTGGGTTTTGATCAAAAAAAGTTTCAAAACTGCTAGCCTACCCACTGGGCTCCTGGGACATCGCTGTGAAAGTCAATGTGTTCTTTCACACAGATACAAAAGACAGAGCCCCTGTTCCTAAAGAATTCTGAGTCATTGGGAGAATCTGACCTGCAAACAGTTAAAACAGAGAGAAGGGCTCTGAGATGATTAAGCAATGGGTGCCAGGAAGAAGGGTGCCAAGATGAGTGGCTTTTGCTCTGGGTCTTGCTGGCTGAATAAGGGTGTGTTTAGTAACCAGAAAGAAGAGGGGAACCTGCAGGACAATGTGCACAAGGTATGAAATGACTTCTCCTGACAACTGACTCCTCGCAGGTTTGTCCTTCAAAGGAAGCCAGGACCTAAGCAAACATTTGGTTTCTGATTTTTCATTTGTTTTTCCTGAAATCAAACAGACCAACCAAGTTATGAGCAAACACGAACTATGGGGTCACTCTGGTCCTAACTTGTAAATCTCCTTGACCGCTGACCCAGCTTGACTTTTTTCAGGTCCCCTTTCTGGGGACATGTCGGACAGTCTCACCCTGAGCAAATGCTGATGATGCAGGGAGCTGCAGTCCTCATGTAATATCCTGGGGAAAAGAAAGCTATTAAAAAGGTTGGTAACCCATTTGGTGTCATGCAGCCCAGCCTTGGCAATTCCCATCATCTAGCTGTCAAGAGTAATAAAAGGAGATGTCCATGATATGACTTACTAGGCTGAGCTTTCAAAGCTGTGACTGCCCCCTCTAATTTTAACTTCCACCAACTCTGAATGAGAGGTAACCAATGAATCTTATAGAGGGTTGGAGGGAGGGAAAAGCTCCAGATGGAGGGACAGAAAATTCAATTGCCACGAGAGCATCATTCCACTTTTCTCAGGCTCAGGACCCCTCTGGAAAACAAGGGTAATAATTGTCTCTCAGGACTGGGTTGAGATCAAATGAAATACATGTGAAGGCATTTTGTATCCTGTTATGCAATAGAATATACTACAGAATTTCAATATTATTAACCCCTTCTTGGACAGCCACAAGTCACATATTTACTATGTTTGTTCACTAAATTTTCTTAATGAGCTAAGTTTGACCTTCAAAATCTGTCTTGCACATGCTTGATGTCTGAGTCAGCACCATACGCACCCTTCGATCCAGAGTCAGCTTCATGGTTACACATTCATTTAAACAGAATTTATTTATTGGATTCCCGTTATATGCCAGACATTGAGCTTGAATGTTGAGGATGTTACATTGTAAATTTCACAGATTCTGGCCTCATGGCCTTAGTCCCTTTGAGGAGCCAGGAAAAGCACTAGATCTTTTGATTCTTGGATCAGCCATTCAGGAACCTTTTGCGGTTTCTGACAGAGGCTACCCAAACAAGACAAACCAGGCCTTTCTTATGGAGGCACCTTCCGTCCATATAGTACAGCTCAGCTCATCGTTTTCACCCTCATCAGTATCACCGTCAGCATCATCATCATCACCATCATCATCACCGTTGATAATGTGTTTAAGGACTGTTATAGCAAAGACAAACACCATTGTGAATGGCATCACTGGAGCTTTCTGCTTCATATTTACCAATAGAAATAGTGATTTTTTACTTTCTGGTCCTCTCTTCTCCCTTTTTTCCCGCTTTCTGGCCACAGTCTGCTCAAGAGTGCAAATGCGATTCTCGGCCTTCCAATCACCAGCAGAGGGCGCGCGTGGCCCTTGCTGAAAGCCTCTGTCCATTTGCGCAAGAAGGAATTAAAGATAAACTTTCCAAAACAAGGAGCCTCTCAACACTAATTTCTTTTGTACACTCTACTAGGCTGCTAGGGAAAGAGGAAAGGGAACTCAGTACATTTTCCTCTAACAAAAAACATGTATAATTATTTTTATAGATAGATACATTAAAAATTCTCCATTTTGGAAATAAAGTCTTTGTAAATAGGGAAGGGTGGAGGGTGTGAAGGGAGGGCTAGGAATGGGGAAAAAATAAGAACCAAGATGCATTAT